GAGGGTGATTTGAGCATTATCACCTTCTAGCTCATTTGAAGAGATAATGTGATCTGTTGAAACTCTGAGAGCCTCCAAGGCCGCTGACCTTATAGTAATCAAACATGTATATATATATATATATATATATATATATATATATATATATACATACATACATACATACATATTGACACAGACCAAAATTGGATCATTATGATGACACTTACCATATGTCACGACCTGAGCCTACACCCTGGACGTGGCCGTCACTCGAGAACCATTGCTGGTCCCCAAGCGAACCCTACTCCTTACTGACTACAAGCGGAAGACTAACTCAAGCATACATAAGCATCAAATTGAAAGAAACGTTTAATGAATCTTAAAACCTTGCTCAATATACTGAGTATGAAACATAAATTTTAAATAAAACATCTGAAACTGAAAGACTCCAAAACTGTTTATCTATGAAGCCTCTACTGTACAAAGATGAGTGTTGGGACAAGACCCGCGACTACTCAAAATAACTGACTAGAAAATAAATGTGAAGTTTCTCGAAATGCAAGGAGGCTCACCTAAGATGTCTGAAGTTCAAAGTGATCTCAACGAAATGCATGTTAATGATCCTAAGAACATGTATCTGCATCATTAAAAAATACAGGTCGAATGACATCAATACATTAAATATACGAGTATGTAATATATCTGAATAAAAAATAACTAAACTGATAATACTGCAATAGATAAAACACAAACTTAAGTGAATGTAAAAGATTAAAGGAATGAAATCATTTAAAGATTTACCAAAAACACTTACTCATCTATGAACCTCAACATAATAAGGGATATAATAAAAATAAACTTTTAACTTTATTTGGGAGATTCTCTAACCGACAACATCAGTATGAGCTACGTGATAATACAACATCTCACCTATGCTGCCAGAATTGTTGTATACCTTATTGGGGTATATAACACCTCAACTAAATGGATCCGTTAAGCTCAGCCCGAAGGCACTTAGGATTAATCTAAAAAGTATGATCTTGTACCCATGTTGGCTGATAAGTATGAGATATTGACTCATCCTAATCGCCTAAACTCACAGAATCTGAGGGTAAAGAGCCAAGGCAAACCGATGATGGAATGGAGCCATTGGTGCATTGCCGACTTAGTCGGCGATGCTTGACTAACTTCGCCTAGTGATCCCGAAGACCAAAATTTGAGAAAGTATAAATTAAATTACAAAAAGTAGAAAAAATGATCCAATCATTTCCTGAGTAATTTCTCCATTGGAGAACTTTGAGCTTTCATTGGAGACTTTGTTTTAGTTTAAGGAGTTTTCTAGTAGATTTTGAGTTGGGTAAAGACGTGGATTGCAATACCCATATTATGGAAAACGTAATTGATATTGATTTCTTCCTTTTTATGATATGTGGCTAAAACTCCAATTCTTAAGGTGTGATGATGTGATTATTTGTTCTACTTAGCTTATGGGTATTGTTGTTTACTAATTGAAATGATGTTTTAAAGTGGGTTTGATTGATAGTTGTGTATTAACTTATGAATTGTAGTTGCAAATGCAATTCTAACTTAGTGTTCTAGGCTTGCTTGAGAGAGAGGTTCTAGAGCTAAGGTTATCAATTAATGATTGTAGCGGTTAGGTTGTTGTGGGTTCAGCTCGAGGGAGTGAATCCTAATTCGATCCTACCTATCTAGCTCGAGAGAGTAGATGAATTAAGGTTTTGAGCTGTTTATATTGTTAAGCTTGTCGAGGCTCGAGAGAACTCACTTGAATCGTAATAGTTGTTCGAGAGAAAGCTATTGCATTTATAGTCTAGCCTACCCACTGAGATTTAACAATGGTTAGTAAATTTCAATTACCCATATAGCGAAATTAGCCTATAATCGATCATATCCTCGAGAATCTCTCTCTACTTGTCTACTCCCCCATTTTCGTAACTATTGTAGTTGATAATTGACCCTTTTAAACCCTCCATCTGACATTCGTTGTTAAGACATTAACTTACTTTGCTTGGTTTCGATAATGCCTACTTCTATAACTAATTAGAACACAAGCTTTACTTCGTAATTGAATTCCATAGTCTACCACTCCCTGTGGGTTCGACCCCAATTCTTTGTTGGGTTTTATACTAGATTACGATCGTTAACGCCTAGTGTTGGATGGGGTGTAGTTGAGCGTTTATAAAAAATGTCGCCGCTGCCGGGGAGTGGTGTTATAGAATTCTCTTGTTGAAGTTTGTTTGTGATCTTCTTGTTTTGTAGTTGAACCTATTTACTTTTTGTTTGTTGTTTGTTGTCTTTGAGTAGGTGACGAAATGAGTGTCAATGGAAGCAATGCCAGCCAGCTGGGCCAAAATGATGACATTGGCAACTTGAACGATGTGAATGAAGCCAATATGAATGATATAAATTTGGGTGGTGTAGGTGCTATTCGGTTGCCTCCGGTCGTAGGAAATACAGTGTTCCACGTGACAAGCACGATGTTGCAACTCTTGCAAATGAAAGGGTTATTTGGAGGCTTGGCTCATGAGGATCCCTATGACCATATTTGGAATTTTGTAGACGTTTGTGGTTCCTTCTCATTCAAGAACATATCCCAAGAATCAATTTGAGTCCGATCGTTCCCTTTTTCTCTAATGGAAGAGGCTATCAAGTGGTTAGCCAACCTACCTAGGTACTCAATCACCAATTGGAATGAACTTACTAAAGCGTTCTTCTTCAAATTCTTTCCTCCCTCAAAGATGATGTCATTAAGGGACAATATCCAAGGCTCCAAACGCTTGGATGGTGAGCCAATACATGAGACTTGGCTATGGTTTTAGAAATTACTACTCCAATGTGTGACTCACGGACTTCCAAACAACATCTTGCTACAACATTTCTATCAAAGTTTAGATTTAGCGAACAAAGGGGTGGTTGACCAACTTGTCCATGGAGGTATCATGCAACAACCTTTTGAGATCGTATCTACTTTTCTTGATGGCATGACCAAGATCAATCGGGCTTGTACACAAGAGAGGATCAAGTGTCTCCTTTAACATTTAGGATGACGAAGGAAAAAATTGAAAAAGACCAAGAACGAGATCAAAACATGGCCAAGATAATGACTGATATACCGTGAGTTTACAATCTTTTTGATACGTTTCACTTAGAGTTTGTGTGTGTCTTAGGACATTTTGTTATTAGAACTGATGTTTTGTGTATAATGTTGCAGGAAATAGGATTAGATGCGGTTGATGAAGATGCGAGCTAAAATTCGCTGAAGTAGCCACCAACTGTGCCATCCACGGACCGTAGGTCCATCGATGGACCGTGGATGGGTCGTAGGTCTTGGCCTGGGAGATGAGTTTCAATAACTCAAACCACAAAATTCCAGGACGGACCGTAGCCCAGTCCACGGACCGTAGGTTGTGTATCATAGGTGGAACATCAAGGAAGTCTAACAAGTGTGGAACCACAAAGCAAGATGACGAGCCGTAGGTTGACCCATAACTCGTCCTGCACAACCGTCGATGAAGATCAGAAAATTGAAGGTTGCAGTACCTGATGAAAATGTCTAAGTGTTGAGCCATTGAGGGGACCTACGGACCGTAGGTCGACCCACGGTCTATAGGTCGAAGTGTCAACTTAAACCGCTTCCAGCCTATTATTTCCTTATTTTGTTTCCTGTTTCATTTAGGAGTTGTTTTCTATAAATAGAAGTTGTAAATCTCTTTTTCTGGGGTTAGACATTATTGTAAGCTCTTAGTTTTGGTGTTTTTGGGAATTAACTTGCAAACTTTAGCAATTTGATTTCCAGATTTCATTTTATAAGATTTTAACTTTGCAATTCAATTGAAGATTTCGAGTTTCATCTATTCTAATTGTAAGTTCATGAATTCTTTCTTCTTAAACATGAATTGTGAAATCTCAAGCATGAGTGGCTAAATCCACAATTAGGGTTGTCGGAACCATGAACAATTAACAAAGTATGAATAATAATTAAGTAATTCTTGATTAGTGTTTATGCATGTATTGTTAATTTTTTCGCTTGGCCAACGTTAGAACTCACCTCGTTGCTACTTGCCGGACCAAGGAGGTAGTTAATGAGAAAAGAATTAACAACATAAATTTAGTGGATGCTATATCTAATAGTCTAATGTCAATTGGAGTGAGGGTGAAAACTAAGCCATACATTGATGTAATGTCTAATCTGGGGTAAAGGTAAGGGTTAGTAAAGCATACACCCGTAGCCAGACCAAGGTGCGAGGTGAAATTTCTTATTTGGAGGACCAATCACTTAGGGATACCTAACTTACCAACTTTGCATGTAAAACACTAGGAAAGGATTACTATTAATAGGATTACTGCGTTAAGAGCTTATATGGGGGAACACACATACCCTAGTTTCTCTCTCATAGTTTGAATCTTGCTTCCTTGTTACTTAATCAACAATCTGTTACTTGCTTACAAAACCCACCCTTTAAGTTGCTTGTCTCGAAAATAGTTTGACTAAATATATATAATAGTGAGTTAAGTTTAAGTCTGAATCATATTCCTCGTGGGATCGACCTCAACCTACAAGTTGGGTTATTTATTTGAGAATGATCGCTTATACTTCTTTAAGGAGATGTAATTTGAGCGTATCAAGTTTTGGCGCCGCTGCCGGGGAATACGACATTTAGATTAAGTTTAGCTACATTATTGAACTTTAGTCAAGTATTTTCTGATTTCACGTTGTGTCTTAGTTTTTTTTTCTACATGTTTCTACTCTAGTGTATTCTAAGTACACGGAGTCGAGGCGAACCATTGACCCCCTACAATCTTGAACTAACCAAGACTTTGAGAAAAATGGCAAATCTAGGGGTCCATAATAATCCAATCATAGATGAACATGAAGAAGGAGATGAATTGCAACCTCCTGGAGTTGTTAATGTGAACGCTCAGGTTCGTGGTGGTAATCTGATCGGAGATGCACTGAGGGTACAAAATCCGCCAGAACCTAGGTTGCGTGATAACTAATGGTTGACTTCAATACCGTTGAATCAGAAGGGCCCATTGTTCTTCCTCCTCTACCTCCAGGGCATACATTTATGGTAACCAGAAGTCTGATGCAAATGCTTACGACACGAGGGTTGTTTTCTGGTCTAGCATCAGAAGATCCACATGGTCACATGGCTAGATTGAGAAGTGTCTGCAAAAGTTGTGTAGGGCGATCGAAATCAGAATTGGACGTCATAGGTTTGAGAGTCTGCCCTCTATCATTGATCGGTGGTGCTGCGGTGTGGTTTTCTAAGCATCCATATAATTCAATTCATACATGGGACAAATTGCATAAGGTGTTCATGGAAAAGTATTTCCCAGTGTCCAAGAAGCTAAATCACAAGGATAAACTGAATAATTTTGTAGCACTACCTGGAGAGTCCGTGAGCAATTCTTGGGATAGGTTCATTGTGTTCATCAGAAGAGTTCCAAATCAACGCATAAATGATGAGTTGTTGAAGGAGTATTTCTACAGAGGGCAGGATGACAATAGAAATGCTGTGCTAGATACTATTGTTGGAGGATCCTATGGTGAGTGCACTTTTGAGCAGATCGCTGAAAAATTGGAGAAGATTTCTCGAAACAATAAGACATGGAGCACTAGAAAAGTTAATACTGGAAGAAGCACATTCGTTGTCCAAGCTGCACCAAATCAATCTAATGATGAAATTCGTGAGGAGATGGCTCAAATGAGGACAAAACTTAGGTTGGTAATGAAGCATGTGAGTGGAAATGCAGATACGGTGAAAGCGGAAAATTACCTAACTAAAACTACACCACCAGTTGAGGAATGGTACTATGAGGAGGATGCGTATTTGATGAATGATCAGACGGGGGGTTTCCGAGCCAATGCCCAAGGATACAACTCGGGTAATTGGCGCCAAGGTCAAGGAAACCAAGGTCAGAACTGTGGAAACAACAATCGAGAGGGAAACTATGTCCAAGATGGGAACAACAATCATGTTAAGAACTACAACTGGAAGAACTATGGTAACAAAAATGAGAGAGTTGGGCACTATGTTCCACCTGAGAAGAAGGAATCTGGTAATAGAGAAGCTGGGGGTAGTATGCAACACATTGATGATATGATGCATAAGATGAAGAGTTTTGATGCAACTGATGAGAGTGTGAAAGAGATGCGAAATGACTTGTCTGGAATTGGTCAAAAAGTTGATGCCCATGCAATGTCGATCAAGCAACTTGAGCAACAGTTTAGTCAGTTGTCCACTGCTGTGAACCCATGTCAACTTGACACATTTTTTAGAAACACCATCCATAATCCGAAGAATAATGGGCATTGTATGGTAGTCACTACTCGAGGAGGTAAACAAACCATTCATCCCCCATTGCCATCTGAGGTTGAAATTGTGGTAGAAGGAGATGAAGATGAGATTGAGGTTACTAGAGAGTCTAAAAATGCTACAAAGAAGGAAGAAGAGGTGACCCAAAATTTTGTTCCCATGCCTAGACCTCCACCTCCATTCCCATAGAGATTGGTGAAGAAGACCGAAGAAGGAAAATACCGTAGGTTCATAACTATGTTGAAACAACTTTCCATCAATGTTCTGTTGGTAGAAGCTTTGGAGCAAATGACAAAGTATGTGAAATTTATGAAATATTTAGTGACCAAGAAGAGGGCCGTCAGTTTTGAGAATGATGAGAGGCTGCAACATTGCAGTGCTATTGCTACTATGTCACTTGTCCAAAAGAAAGAGGATACTGGAGCTTTCACTATTCCTTGTACCATCAGTATTTTGCACTTTGCCAAAACTTTGTGTGATTTAGGTGCTAGACTCAACTTGATGCCGTTGTCTAGTTATAAGAAGTTGGGTTTAGGGCCAAAACCAACTACGATGCATCTACTCATGGATGATAGAACTGTGAAGAAGCCCATTAGTGTTCTCCAAGATGTCCTTGTGAAAGTGGAGTCGTTCATTTTGCCGGTAGATTTTGCGATACTTGATTGTGAGGTTGATTTTGAGGTTCCCATCATCCTAGGGAGACCATTCCTTGCTACTGGGTGTGCCTTAGTCGATATGGAGAGAGGGCAGATGAAGTTCCGACTGAATAATGAAGAGTTGACTTTTAATATTTGTAGGTCTATGAAGCAGGAAAGCGATCTCAAGTCAGTATTAGTGGTGAATCATATTGTGGAGCGGGGTTCTGCAGTGTTTATTGAAGAGGGGTTGGGTGTTGATGCACTGAAAGCGGTAATGATGACTTTTGAGGGTGATGGTATTGAATACTATGATGAATTAGTTTCCATGCTTGATAGGTTCGAATTTCGATCCAAGCCAAAATAGATTGGAGCTAGATTTGAAGAATCACGACTCTCCACCCGCAAAACCGTCTATGGAAGAATCTCCAAAATTGGAACTCAAGGCTCTACAATCACATTTGACGTATGTATTCTTAGGGAAAGATTGCACTTTACCGGTTATCATTCCGGCTGATTTGAGTGAGGTACAGGTAGAGGCATTGGCTTCTGTGTTGAAGAGGTTTAAGCAGGCTATTGGATGGATTATTGCGGACATTATTGGGATTCCCCCTGGCATTTGTTCTCATAAAATCCAACTCATGCCGGATAGCAAACCTAGTATTGAGCACTAAAGGAGACTTAATCCACTTATGAAAAAGGTAATCAAAAAGGAAATCATCAAATGGTTGGATGCTGGATTCATATACCCCATTGCAAATAGTAGTTGGGTCTGTCCTGTTCAGTGTGTACCTAAGAAAGGTGGGATTACTGTGGTTCCTAATGCGAATAATGAGCTAGTCCCAATGAGGCCAGTGACTGGATGGAGGGTATGCATGGACTACCGCAAGCTAAATGCCTAGATAAAAAAAGATCACTTACTGATGCCGTTCATTGACCAAATGTTGGATCGTCTTACAGGTAACGGTTGGTGTTGCTTTCTAGATAGGTACTCGCACTACAATAAAATCTCTATCACTCCAGAAGGTCAAGAGAAAACCATTGTCACTTGTCCATATGGAACTTTCGCCTTCAAAAGGATGCCATTTGGGTTGTGTAATGCTCCAACGACTTTCTAGGGGTGTATGATATCGATATTTTCATATATGGTGGAGGACACGATTGAGGTATTTATGGATGATTTCTCTGTGGTAGGTGACTCGTTTGATGGTTGTATGATGCATCTGGCTGAGGTAATGAAACGACGTGAATAATGCAATCTTGTGCTCAATTGGGAAAAATGCCACTTCATGGTGAAATAAGGTATAGTTCTGGGTCATCGGATTTCTGAGAAGGATATTGAGGTTGATAGAGCTAAAGTTAAGGTAATAGAAAAGCTTCCACCACCTATCTCTATTAAATGTGTTAGAAGTTTTCTTGGGCATGCAGGTTTTTACCGGAGGTTTATTAAAGATTTCTCAAATATTGCACACCCATTGTGCAAACTACTCGAAAGGAGTGTAAGTTTGATTTTGATGATGCTTGTCTTAGAGCATTTGGAGAGTTGAAAGCAAGGTTAGTGATGCTTATCGTGACCAACGACACTATCCTATGGTATGAGTGTCTACGATCGTAAATTATATAGTAACCCAACCAAGAGTTGAGGTCGTGTCCCAAGGGAGTGGTTTTAAGAATTGATAGAAAAATAAAATTACATTCTAACTAGTCATAGCTAAAGATATTGACGAACAAAAACATAGTAAATTAAACGGGGTGACACGAAAGTGTCAAATAACAAATGGGTTTTTGTCACAAATAGTAAAAAAACAAAATAAACAAGAAAATCAAGTATGCGGAAGGTTCTTGTGATGTGACCGCAATACAAATTGAGATAAATCGTTGGGTACATCCATTCGATAGGAAATTTGCAAGACAATAGTGACTAGGCTAATCTTTAAATATAAATACGTTCCCTCTCGGGCAACTTACCCCGTTTCAAATGCATTCCTCTCTGACACCCATTTGCCGCATGAAGACCAGCCTATACCTTACCCCACTCACTCTCTCGAGCTGAGTATTAGGATATGGGATTAGGGCTCACCCTCTTGGGTTGAACCTCATGTCGTCCCCACTCCTTAGACCATCAATCTAGTGGTTTTGGTTTCGCGACCTCCCTCTCTGGCAAGGTGGAAACACATGGGTGGCTTTGTATTTGCAACTACAAACCCTTTAGATTAAACCACAACCACTGGGTGAAATCAACAATAAAATACATCTAACCTATCAACAAGCAAGACCCAACAAGAATATCAACTATATTTGCTAAATCACACCCCAAGAATGGGGGTTTTTAGCCACACATCAAGAAATAAGAAATTATACCTAACATGATAATGAAATCAACTGGGTATAAAAAATTAAACCTTAAATTAAGGAAAGGAAAATGAATAGAGAAGTCCCAATTCCAACTTGGGGAAGAAGAACTCCTTTCTTCAAGTCTCCACAAAACCCTCTCCAAACTTGAGACAAAAAAATATCAGCTAAAGTATGTTCTAAAGTGAAAATAATAATAATAATTGTTCCACACCAGGACTAAAATTCTAACTAGTATTTATAGTTTTCATAGAATGTGCTGCGGAGGATTGTTCGGTGACATTAGTTGAGATCGCCGATCAGGGATCTCCCTTTTGGTCAGCTCATCGTGTTGCCTTTAGCATCCTCGCATTCTGGATCATTGGGCGGTATAGTGCTACTTTGCGAAACTGATCGACGACTTACCGACTACTCATTTCCTCGCCTTTTGATCCACTTCCTTCAAGGCTTCGCATAGTGGAACGAAGGGTGGTTCATGTCGTTTCGGTGACTCGCCATGTTGAACTTGGTGATCGGTAGGATTCCATTTAATCTTCATTTCAGCCCTATTTGCTTTGTTTTGCGCCTAAGTGTCCATGCTTTCACTAAAACTTCAAATACCTGAAACTTCAGCATTTTAATCAGGTATTGAGATAAAACAAGTATTCAAGGACACTATTTCTATTAAAATAAAGCCCTAAATGAGTCCAATTTGTGGACTCATCAGTTAGTATCAACACCTATCATTATTTCACCGGATTGGGGGCAACCGTTTGAAGTGATGTGTGATGTGAGCGGGGTGGCGCTTGGTGTGGTATTAGGCATAGGCGAGAGAAGATTCTTCATCCGATTTACTATGCCAGCAAAGCTCTAAATGTGGCTCAAAAGAACTATACGGTGACTGAACAAGAAATCCTTGCTGTTGTTTTCGCATTCGAGAAATTTTGATCCTACTTGCTTGGTACTACAGTCATAGTGCATACTGACCATTATGCATTGAGGTATCTGATGGATAAGAAGGATGCAACACCGAGGTTAATTAGATGCGTATTATAGCTACAAGAGTTTGATTTTGAGGTGAAAGATAGAAAGGGGACAAAAAATCAGGTTGCCGACCATTTGTCCAGATTAGAGGAGGAAGCTATGCTCAAGTTAGGAGATGGGGTTGATATTAATGATGCATTCCTAGATGAATATGTATTGGCTGCTTTTGATGATCTTCTCTCTTGGTTTGCATATTTTGCCAACTACTTCACAAATGATTTGGTTCCATCGGATTTGTCATTTCACCAAAGGAAAAAGTTTATGCATGATGTGACGAAGTTCTTTTGGGATGAGCCTTACTTGTTTTGTATTTGTGCTAATGGGATTATTCGTCGCTGTGTGCCCGAGGTTGAGATGATGAGTATACTAGAGGCGTGTCATTCATCTCTTGTTGGTGGGCACCATAATGGTATTCGAACTGCTCATAAAATTTTGCAGTGTGGGTATTAGTGGCCTACCATCCACCAAGATGCTCATGATTTCGCCAAGTCTTGTGATCGTTGCTAAAGAGAAGGAGGAATTTCAAAGAATCAAGAGCTGCCTATGAATCCAATATTGGTGATTGAGTTATTTGATGTCTGGGGTCTTGACTTCATGGGTCCGTTTGTAAGTTCATATGGGATGAAGTATATTTTTGTTGCGGTTGGCTACAGATCGAAATGGGTGGAAGCAATTGCGCTTTCAAACAATGAAAAAAGAGTGTCACCATATTCCTGAAAAATAGTATCTTTTATAGATTTGGTACACCTAGGGAGATTATCAGCGATGGAGGTTCTCACTTTGGTAATAAGTTTTTCAAGGCACTGCTAGACAAATATGGAGTTCGTCAGAATGTGGCTACTCCTTACCACCTGCAGTCTAGTGGGCAAGTTGAAGTGCCAAACAAAGAGATAAAACAAATCCTTGCAAACATTGTGAACCCCAACATAACGAATTGGTTAAGAGGTCTTGATGATGCTCTATGGGCCTATCGCACCGCATTCAAGACTTCCATAGGTATGTCCCCCTACCAACTTGTATATGGGAAGTCATGCCATTTGCCGGTAGAGCTAGAGCATAAGGCCATGTTGGCGCTAAAGAAGTTGAATTTGGATTGGGGCACCACATCGAGTCAAAGATTGAATGACATGAATGAGCTTGATGAGTTTCGCCCAAAAGCATATGAAAGTTCAGTCTTGT